CCAATCTTATGTCCACTCCTCAAGATCCTCCCTGAGATTTCTTCACCGTTCATCAAATAGAAATTACACTCCTAGCTTTACAGGTGCTAGTGAACCTTAACAATTAATCAACCCCGATCACTCCAACCAACTAGTTGTGAATCTAGTGCTAGTTACACCTAACCTAAGTGATTTTATCTAAAAAAATCACTCACAAAAATATAATTCTCTTTTACAAGAAAAAATGATAAGGGATTGGAAACCCTTTTACAAAAAAAGCTCAAACACTCAACAAATTTCTTTCAAAGAAATTATATAGCTCAATGAAAATGCACAACGCAATGTTTTAAGAATTCTTGAATATCATGTACAATTTTTCACCACTTCTTTGTCTTTTCTTTTCTCTACAAAGCTTCTTTTATAGCCATAGAAAAACTAGCTGTTGCAAAAAGATTCTAGGTAGGCTCATCTTTCCTACTATTTTTCTTCCATTTGAATTCATTAGCTTTTTGGACTTGCATCATTCTTGCTAAGAAACACTTCAAATCAATCAAAGGATGAAATTGAATAAGAAAATATTTGAAAATGATTTGAATTTTTTTGTGTCAAATGATTGTAAAAAATGTATATTAAAAAATCGCAATTTATGTCATAATATTTTAGCCATCATCAAAATCAAACCATAGGATTAACAATTTCTAATATCATCTAGCGAGATAAACCTATTGTGGTAAAAATCACGTCCTATGATCCCAAAGTATTCAAACCTGATAACTCTGATACGAAGTTGTAATGCCCCAAAATAATAACAACAAACGACATGATATTCAATGGAAAAGCAACAATTTATATAAAATTAACCCTTCATCAATATTCTGTTACCGTACAAAATATGACATATGCATATATACATTCATAAATCATAGATCTTGAATCTATAGCACATGACATGTTTAAATGAATTGGAACAAAAGGAAGTACATATAAGTTTATACCCTAGTGACTACATCTTTCCAAGTTAATGCTTGGGTACACCTGCAGAGTTAGCTAGATTATACATAAAGCATCCTACCTCTAAACATCTGGACAATAAGATTAGTCACAATTTTCTCAGGTTTAAACTCCTTGCTAAAAATCCTCCTATTCCTTTCTATCCAGTGCACAGAAAGGAGAGTTTTGTAAGAGCAGACTTCAAATCTTTGCCTTTGGTGGATTTAGTAGCATAGACCACATACTCCAGCCAGGAGAATTGGGGCCAGCTAATGTTACACTTGACCTGAATGTCTTCCCAGATCCTAGAGGAATATACACACCTGAAAAACAAATGAGAGTGATTCTCCTCAGGACCATGGCAAATGAGGGTGATGGTCTTGAGCACATCAAATCGCTGTTGAATAAAAAGGTTTCCAATTCTCAATCGGCTCTTTTGGCGAAACCTATTTCGGATGCTGAAATCAAGGAGGTTTTTTGGTCTCTCAAAGCCAATAAAGCTCCTGGCCCTGATGGGTATTCAGCTGGTTTCTTCAAAAGCTCGTGGGATATTGTTGGGAAGGAGGTTACTCTTGCCATTAAGTCATTTTTTGTCTTTGGTAAACTCCTCTCGGAGATCAATAGCACCATCATTGCTCTTGTTCCCAAAATTCCTAATCCTATGAATGTTGGTGACTATAGGCCTATTTCTTGCTGCAACACCATCTACAAATGCATTGCCAAGATAATAGCTAATAGAGTCAAATTGGTGCTTCCTGATCTTATTGATCCTGTGCAATCTGCTTTTGTCCAGGGTAGAAGAATCTCGGACAACATCTTTCTGTCCCAAGAGATTATGAGGGGTTACCACCGGAGTTCCAAAACTCCGAAGTGCGCTATGAAAGTGGACATCATGAAAGCCCCCGATACTGTGAGATGGGAGTTTATTATTGATATCCTCACTGCTATGAACTTTCCTCCTTGCATGATAAATTGGATCAATGCTTGTATGACTAGTCCTTCTTTCTCTATTTGCATCAATGGTAGTCTTCATGGGTACTTTAAAGGGGCTAGGGGCCTTAGGCAAGGTGACCCTATGTCCCCGTATCTTTTTGTGTTGGCTATGAAGGTTTTGGCTAGAATTCTTGCTGAAAAATCTAGAAACCCCCTTTTTAAGTTCCATTGGAGATGTGAGACTTTTGGTTGTTGAAAAACCAGAAAAGTGATGCAAGGTTTGGAGGAATTTAGGAACTTGTCCGGTCTCACTCCTAATCCTAATAAGAGTAATATTTATTTCTCCGAGTGTAGCAGTGAGCTTAAAGCTAATATTTTGCATATTGCCAACTTCTTTGAGGGCTCCCTCCCTGTGAAATACTTGGGTGTGCCCTTGATCACCACTAAGCTTAAAGCATCTGATTGCCAATCCCTGGTTGATAGGATGACTAAAAGGATTAAAAGCTGGACCAATAAATTGCTATCTTATGCTGGTAGAGCCCAACTCATCCAGTCTATTCTTTTCTCGATGCAAGTTTATTGGTCTTCTATTTTTATTCTCCCTAAGAGGGTTATCCATGACATTGAAAATCTGCTCAGATCTTTCCTTTGGTCTGGGACGGAGCTGAAAAAGCATAGTGCTAAAATTGCTTGGAAGCATATTTGCAAAAAAAAAAATGAGGGTGGGCTTGGTTTTAAGGATATGGAGGTTTGGAATAAAGCGGCTATAGCCAAACATGTTTGGTATTTGTTTTCGGGTGGGGAATGTTCAATGTGGTGTCAATGGGTTAAATCCTACTTACTTAAGGGTAAGAGTTTTTGGGGTATTAAGATGCCCAGTGATCCCTCCTGGGTTTGGAGGAAACTTTTGTCGCTTAGGGATTTAATTTTCCCTTTTATCAAATTCAAACTTGGTAATGGTGAAAATGTGTTCCTCTGGCATGATAACTGGCACCCCTTTGGTTCGCTTTTGCTTCGGTATGGTCCTAGGATTTTGTATGATACCAACCTTCCTGACAATTTTAAGGTTAGTTCAATTATCTCAAATGATTCTTGGAATTGGCCTTTTCCTAACTCTTGGGAGATACAGGAATGGATTGCTGCCACTCCTCCATCTCTTAAACCTTCCCTTGATTCCCCTGATATTCCTGTGTGGAGTTTGACTGTTGATGGCTCTTTTTCTATTCACTCTGCTTGGGAATGTTGGAGGGACAAGGGCCCAAAGGTTACTTGGTCTAATCTCATTTGGGGTCCTCCTGTTATCCCTAGGGTTAGTTTCATTGTGTGGCTGGCTATCCATGAGAGACTTAACACTGGGGATAGACTCCAAATCTTTGGTCTTCTTACCAGCCCTAGCTGCCCTTTATGTTGTGCCCTTGAGGAAAACCATTCCCATCTGTTCTTTAGGTGTCACTACTCCTCTAGGATTTGGGCTGTTATCCAAGCTAAATGTAATTCCCATTGGCCTTCTTTGCCCTGGTTGGAACTTGTTGAGTTTGCTACTAAATCCATCAATGGTAAATCTCCTTTTTTTTGAATGTCCATTTTCGGAAAGCGTGTGGTCTT